AAGCTTCCTGAGCTTCCAAAAGAAGAAGAAAAGGGTCCGGAGGCCTTCCACCAAAGCACTTCTTCGTCTCTACCGGGAGCTGATGCTGAGATGGATGCGATCCAAGTGGTTGAGAGTGCTGTTGAGCCATCTTCTAGTGCCTCGCCACCGCAGATACCCACACCATTGGAGGATACGTTTATGAGCGGTTCCGACGAGCCTACTGCTGCACTATTGGAGCAAGCATCGCCTCGCGGGTCAGAAGTTAATACTCTACCACCGCCGCCACCTACAAACAACACGGAAAGCAATGATACTGCTATGTTAGAAGTGGAATCAACTCCCGCCGTTGACCCACCGGCTGTTGATGTCATAATTCCAGGCGCCGGCCCTGGTGATACCGAGATGGGTGGTACACAAGAAGACATGCCGCCCCCTCCGCCCCCACCAGTTGAGGCCCCTGTACAGCCCCTGCACCCCCCCCCGCCAATGCGGAGCCCCACACCTGAACCACCTCCCGACGAGATCTACTTCTTCCTTAAATTCTGGAACCCTGAAAAGCAAGCCCTAGAGGCACGAGGATCGCACATCGCACTCAAGTCTGCTAGGGTAGATGAGACACTTGTGGTATTGCTTGGCCTGGAAGACAAGAAGAAGATGGAGATGTGCGAAGAAGATGAGTTGACTAACACACGGTCTCTAAAGCATCGCCGCACCTTTGCGCAAGTGGATTTACACAACGCGTGTATCATCGTCGTTTCGTTACCACTCTCGGCTGAGAAGCGTAACGCACTTGCAGCCCGCGCGGCATTTGCAGACCCCCAAAGCTACCTCCAATTCCGCGCTTTCGCACGCAATTTCCCTCACAAGCTACAAGGCCACTTCACTTATAACTACTTCTCTAGCGAATACTACAAGGGCGAGATTGTCAATGGTTTTGCGCACGGTCACGGTACTAGGATATACCACTCTGGCGCCACTTACGATGGCTCCTTCCGCCTGGGCAAACGCTACGGCCATGGCCTGTACATTTTCCAAAACGGCGACACATATGACGGTGACTGGGTCGACAACCAGCAACACGGTACTGGTACCTATGTCGAAGCCGCGAACGGCAACACATATGTCGGCGGATGGCAGAACGACAAGAAATTCGGTGAGGGTGTTACGCACTGGAAGAACGCCCAAGAATCTGAGCGACTGTGTAGAATCTGCTGGGATGGGGAGGCAGAAGCGGCTTTCTACGATTGCGGTCACGTAGTAGCTTGCTTGACGTGCGCACGGGAGGTGCAGAATTGCCCTGTGTGCAGGAAGCGTGTGTTGAGCTCTATGAAGCTCTACTACGTGGCTTAGTTTTCTCAAGGGCAGCTTCTACCGAAAAGTTATTGTGAAGTCTCTTGCAGGACCACACAGCATCGATTCAAGGGCGCACACGCGATGTGTACCTTCAAGGTCGGGTTCTGAAACACCCTTCGTTCAAAGACATAAATGGGCCGTATAACTTGGAGATGAGAATCAAGGAGTTTTTGGTTACGGGCATCACAAGAACGAGATAAGGGGTATCGTGATAAGTATTGGCTATGTATGAGTTAGGAGTCTGAATGGTTTGGGTTCGGGCGTTTTATTCGGTACTCTTTTATTTCAATTTCTTGTATCAGGGTGCTAAGGCGTAGTCTCTAGACGGCTTTACGATCACCATCAGATCTTCACTTCTCGACTCTGTGCTTCAACCAATTCTTGATTTGACAGAATGAAACAAATAGTTGAATGCATATTGGTATCGGAATTTACGTCGCTTCTGCAAGATCAATGAATTCAGTGTGTGTTGGACTGGATGCAGGTGGCCTTTGCGCAAGGTCATAAATGAACAGGTGAGTGCTTAAACACCATAGTCTGAGCAGTCGCACACCTCTATCCACTCGCTTTGCCATACAGCTTTGAGTGCACTATAGTTCTCAGCCTGGGTTGACTGAGGTGTACCTCTTGTTCCTGTAAGTACGGCATTGCTCTCAGTAGAGGGATGCATGATAGTCCTGCACTACAATTCTCTGCGTGAAGATGTACGGACATGGCTATGCCGACGCGATGGCACATTGACAATCTTTCGGAGTACGCATATCCTGTGGATATTAATAGACAAGACTTCGGTAGTTGTTCTCTTGGCTGTTCAGGTCATCAAATGTGTCGCGCAAGTGTATCCATAGAGCCCGGTGTTAAGTATCGACGCGTTCGAGCGGTTCGGAAGTGGGACTTCGGACTGCGGTATACAGGTTCGGGATCCTGTTGGTTTGCATCCTCTCACGTGATCCACTCACATTCACTCACTAGCGTACTCTCTCGTCCCTATATAAACAAGGGACTTCTCCTTCGTACATAGAACAATCAACTCCATACTCTCTTCTTGTTCTACAGATCCGAGCGATCATTGTGATTGAGACGCTGGTCGCATTGCGATAAGGAAGATGCATGCACTAGGCTGTTTCGTTAAACCGAAACGCTGGATGGAACTGCAGCAGGCGCGGACGCGGTGGTACAGGCAGAATCGCTCGACACGCGACACGCGACGCGCTGTTCCCGCAAGCACGGCATGTGCCGAGCGCATTACGTCAACTGCCAACCCGACCTCCTTTCACCACTTGCAATCCCGTATGCAGCGTCAGTCCGATCTTACACGTAAACACTAAAGCGATTTCGCAAGACGCATATGCCAGCCTTGACAACGAGCGACGGCTCTTATCCAGCTTCAAGCGCTCAGTGGTGATGCACGTTACCCAGTCTTTCAACCCCCTTTGTTTGTATAAAAGCTCATCAGAGGGCACCACTGTCTTTTGACCAGAGACTGGTCTTGAAAGAGTCTACCAGATTCTTCCGCCTACAGTAAAAATTGTGGGATACTCTTGCTCATTGATAAGCTGGGCTGTGTACCATGCTCAGGCAATTGAATAGAGCAGCAACCTTCTATGGAAGTGCCATGCCGTCTCATTTGATCTCTTCTGATCTCGACTTCTATCGTTGCCTCTCCAGTTCGACACTGAGCATTGCTTTTTGGTTTTATGACTGTACTTCTGCGCACCGCATACTCACCGATACCGGCGTTCATTCACTACCAGGCACCGGAATGTGCGAGAGGCCTCAAAATCATTTAGGCGGGGTAAAGGTCTGTGTCTCTGGCTCACCATCATAAGATCTTCTGCTCGTACAGACAATTCTACTGCATTGCATACTCACCACGACTAACTGCTAGAACAACGAAAATGGCCCGTTCAACCCGACTACGATCCAGGCCAGAGCGCCGCATCAACTATGCCGACACTTCGGAAGCAGAGCTCGAAGCTGGCACTCAAGTGCCGCCTGAGCCTGTCGCATCAGCTCAAAGGCGTGGGCGTAAGTCTGCTCTTCGTATGAATGGCATACACGCCTCGTCTGAATCTCCAGATGCCTCTCCCATAGTTACTCCCAAACGCGTCACTCGTGTCAAGGCTGGCGCGGTCGTCAAACCGAAATCAGGACCGAATGTACACAAGAAGGCTCCGACACCGCAGAAGAAGGAGCGGCCGACGAAGCAAGAGTGCTCGATCTGCGCGACACAAAAGACCACTACTCGTTCGTTCAAAGCTCCTAGTGATGCTTGTGAGCATCTTCAGTCTATCTGCAACTTGTGCGTTGCAAAGATGCTCAAGACAAAAGTCGCTGAACGCCAGCTTGGGAAGGCCGAGCTGAGCTGCCCCTTCCCCGAATGTGATCATCTGCTAGACTATACGGCTCTCCAGGCCATCGTCAGTAAAGCTGCGTTCGAAGAGTAAGTCATTCTCCATGATGCGACTGATCTATATGCTGACCCACTATAGCTACGACAAAGCCGTCACAAAGCACACTCTGTCCATAGGAGGGTCGTATGTGTCCTGCCTTTCCACAGCCTGCGGGTTGCACTTCTCAACTCAAAACTGCGAGAACAACAAGCATGGCAAGCAGCTGGTCGCATGTCCCTACTGCGACTATGAGATCTGTCTGAAGTGTAATAGGCCGTGGAAGTCGCATGGAAAAGGCAGCTGTGATCAGGCGAAGAAGGCAGAAGAAGAGCTGTGTGTAAATGCTGTCAGGAAAATGGGAGCCAAACCATGCCCCAACTGCGGTATGAACATCCAGAAGAACGGAGGATGCGATCATGTGACTTGTAAGTGTCAAAAAAGCCTATATGCAAGCCGTCAAATTCGATGCTAACAGACATTTTAGGTGGAAAATGCCACCATAACTTCTGCTGGGTGTGTCTCGCCGGATATACCAACAACATTCGGCACCGCGATGACTGTCCTCACGCGCGGGTTTACATTGCTGCCGAACCTGACAATTGGGCTCAGGACAATTTGACCGACGCGCAGATTAACAACTTGATCGCCCAAGCAGCCGCTCGCCTCGATGATCCTACTCATACTCCTGTGGCTGCTCCTGCACCCGTCCACCAACAGCCACCAGTGCCAGCTCTACCCACAATTCCACCTTTCGCTGACATCATCGTTGGAGAATTTATGAACGTCATTAGAAGGGCTCGCGATGGCGGCGCCGAAAATGTAGGTTGATTGCCTAATCATGGGCCTTCATTCCTTCTGGAACTTAGTCCTGGTCTTGATGTTGGTGTACACGTAGCGAGAAGGTGGCTAGGAGTATGGGTATAGCGTGTGTTATGGAAGCCATGAGTGACTCGTCGTTAGTAATGGGCTTTCGCGATACCACAGGTTAAGGTGAATGGCAACCGTACCCGTGCAGGAGAGTGTACTCTAATTATATACTCTTATGAAATACAGCAAGTATTGCAATAAATAATGCAGTGAGGTCCTTTGGATATAATCTAGTAATGCCGTGATGCACTTTCCCGGGTTCGAACAACGAACGATAGCAGTAGCGCTCCACCCCCAGGCATGATTTCTTCACGCATGACAGCCTGTTGTCTCTTCGTCTACACTCGCTACCGGAACCAGATATTGCTATACAGGACTATGATATATCTCGACTAAGGCTACATCATGAGCGATACCAATTCTGACGACTGGGTTGACTCACCTAACGACTCGCCAGAAGTAGATGAGGATAGACAAAGGTAAGTCAGGTCTCGCGCTGAGCTTTAGGCTTCACAAACACTGAAATTCCTCACTTTAGCGAAGCGGGCAACATGAATGCTAGTTCAGTTCAGCAAGATGAGCAGCAATTTCCGCGAAGGAGCCTGGAAGAAGTGGAGGGGACTGCGTACGTATCTGATCCTCACTGTCAGACTTCGTGAGACTACTGCGACCTCACACATCTATGTTTTGATATTTCAAACTAACACATCTTAACAGCGCGAACGCACGCAGACGCACCTCGTCCCTATCAGCAGGCATCGCAGCTATGTCACCCACCGAACTCGCTTCTGCCCAACCACGCCAACCCACTCCCCCACCTCCACCGCATAGTTCTACTCTGCCCAATCAAATTGAACATGCGCCCGATCACGACCGGAACCGCTCCCCCAAGGTAATTTGAACCCATGCGAAATGCATCTGAGACATACACTGACTTCGTATCTTCACGTCCACAGTCCTCTTTACCAGACTACCATAACCCGGACTCACCGACGCAGAAACGGGGGAAGGGCGTCTTACGCAACCCAGTAGCAGATACATGGCGCGAGGACGCGTACATGAAGAAAGAGCCGACTCATCAGAAGATGACTACTAGAGAAGCCAGCAAGGTGCAAGATAGGTGGAGATGCGAGTACTGCGGTCGATTGAATGAGAGAGGGATTGAGACAACTACGCCGGAAAATCCAGCCACTACCGAGCTGGAAACACTGAGACGTGACACTGGGAGCATAAGGATCGGTGCTGCCGGGCCATCGCGAGCGTACGTGTATCTTCTGGGGTCATACAACTATCTAACATTATCTCAGATCAACAGATCCATCATACGCCCACGCACCTTCAACTTCCAGCGTGTCTTGCGCAAGATGCGAATACTGCAAAGAGAAGCTCCCTTTCAACATTATGACGTACGACGTTCGTGAACTATGCGAGGACGGTATAATATAGGGTAATGTACATCGGTCTGAAGCGGTCATACAGGTGTTGAGACCAAGGGCTAGGGCTAGAGTCGCACGCAGAGTAGCGTTTAGGCGAAGGGTGAATTTAAGGAATGAGGAGGCTGAAGCAAACGATCGGGAAAGAGAAGAGAGCATGAACCCAAGAGGAGACCAGAGTGAGGAGAATGATGCGAGGAATGATGAAGACCAGTGGGAAGACGACAACGAATGAGTAGATTGCGGGAATGACGGTTCACCCACGCGGATATAGCGTTACGTTTCTGGGTCGACCACCACTATATCATCAGCTATTCTACCAACTACCCAACCACCAAACCAACCCTCCAACCCCTAACGTGATTCCGCCATGCCATGCCAAACCCCAAGCCATCGCAAACAGAAATTTCGGACTAAATACGGTCCAAATGAAAAGATGTTGTCTCAAAACAGTACAAGCCAGCATAACAGCACCCAGCATAGCTCCAGTCCAGAACGTCAACAAGGCAACATGTCCCGCCCACTCCTTCTTCTCCTTCCTTATCTCTCTACCCTTCTCTTCTTTCCTTGCAAGCTCATTCAACCACTCTCGTTCTCTAGCTACCCAGTCCGCGACATGAAGTTCGCTAGTCTCAATGTAGCGCTCAGTACGGCCGTGAGAGCCTAGGAGGAGGATTCCAGCTAAAGACCAGTATACGGGTCCAGCCCAGTTTGACAGGAAGACTAGAAGGCCGACGGCTAGGACGTTGTAGCCGGAGATGCCGTTGTAAGAGTTTGAGAGATCGATGGAGGAGATTGAGTTGCTGTTTCCGAGGGCAAAGAAGGAGGTTTGGGTCAAGAGAAGCGTCGTTGTGGTTACAGCTGTGGGAGTGAGGTCGAGGAGGGCTGTGAAGCGTGGGTTAGTTTCGAGAATTCAAAAGTGAGGAGACTGTGTGGTCTAGGTATGGAATGTGATGACCTACTGAGGAAGAAGTATTGTAGTCGGAAGAGAAAGTAGAGAGGTATGTTCTGTGCCTTTGTTTGCGTGAGGAGAAAAAGCGTCATTAGATCGAAGAAAGCGACAGCGAGTTCTGCAATACTGTTAGTGATCTCCTGAAATCCATGCACGAGGCTGTCAACATACGACCGTTGCCCTGTTTCCCGCGTCTCTTTCTCCGCTGCGACCTTGTCCACTCGGCGAAAGCGATCCAGGTCCCACTCAGAAGCAGCCCTCCAAACACCATGCGAGCAAGACCAACAAGCTCCAACGTCTCGACCTTCTCCACCAAGCCTGTGCTGAGACCATAGGTCAGCTCTGGCGCGTCTTTGACGGTGAAGGCAAGTTTGAATATATATGCCGTTCCGCAAAGCGGCAGTACAGCAATCGTTCCAAACATGCGATTTTGATCCGTGGACTCAATCTCCACACTGCGGTGTTTCTGCTCTGTATCGAATGTCGCAATTGAGCGCGCAACGTGCCTGGCTAACCGGATTGTGATGTCCATGTACGTAGCGCTGATCAGAATCCAGAGGAAGACCGAGGCGTTTCCGTGGAAAATGCCACTGTTGACAATGTCATCTGCGCCGGCGTACTTCTGCCCGGTCTGGTTCCATCGCCTGATAATCCTATGTATAGCTAGTGCCATGATGGCAGGGTGGAAAATCCAGTTGTTGTACCACTCCTTTCGCATGTTGTTAAAAAAGAGACATAGGAACCAACCAGATGTGGCCCAGTACCAGAAGTTATGTTCTTCTTCAACGTATGAGGATGCGAACATGAGGACCGCATACAAAACAAGAGCGAAGCCATAGTAAAGGCCAGCCGGTGTGGCAGGTCGGAAAGCAGGAAGCGTGAAATAGCTCAAGGCGCAGATGAGGAAGGCTGAACCGGTTCCCAACAAGAGGCGAGCGACGTTGTAGTTCGAAGCTGTGCTAGACATCATTTCCTGGGTTTCGTGCATGAACTCGTAAACCCGATCTTGGAATTCAGCACCGTTACTAGTCGCACCAACAGCTGCTTGCCAGAGACATGCCAGCAACTGACCGTCTGATAGATGCGAGCGGCTTTCTCCAGACTCGAAGCACGCAAACCCCAAATCGTCTTTCGTCAATGGCTGTTCGTCGAATCGTAGACTAGTATACTTGGCTTCGACAATTTTCTTCATCTGCTTGGCATTGCGGTAGAGAAGTTGCATGCGGTCCGACGGCTTGTCCCAAAAGCCCAAGAATTCTTTCAGAAAGACGCCCAGGTTATTCTGTGGAACTGGAAATCCGAGCAACCCTGCCAGCGTTGGAGCAATATCGCTCTGTTCAACCAACCGGTAATACTCGAATTCCCCTTCATTCTTGGGTTTGATTGGACTCCGCTTATCAGCAGATTTAGTGACCTTGGTGAGCTTCGGGCTCATGAAGACGAGTGCTGGAGAGGTTTCGCCTGGCGATGAGCCACCGTGGTTACCGCCATCGTTCATGCCGTGATCGCCGCAGAGTACAAACAGAGTGTTGGACAGGTGGTCTTCGTTCTCGATGGCAGAATAGATGTCGCGAACAATGCCATCCATCTCGATCTGTTTAGGAACCATATTCGGACTAGACACAGATCAGTATCCTGCATCGAGTTGAGTTTATCTGCCAGGATTTATGCACCTCTTAGGACCAGCCTTATGCCCAATGTGATCCAACCCCAGGTAATGCATAACCATGGCATTCCAATCACTATTCAATAACTCGTTAGGAATATGTCTCGTCACGTTGTTGTCAACCTCTGTGAAGTCCTGCGAATTTGAAAATCAACATTCTATTGCTCCTATATACAGCAGTGGGACACATATGACTGACCGAAACGAAGAAGCTGCTTGTCCCATCGGCGCGCTCAAACATGTTCGGGAAGAGCTTCAGCCAGGTGTCATCGCCGTACATGACCAGCTTGCCTTTCTCGTTATCATAGTCTTTTGCCTTGATTTGCGCAAGCCATGTGTCTTGCGTAGCGAGTGTGGACGTGGTATCCGATTCGGCGAAGTTTAGAATTACGTCTACGAAGGAGGGTATGGAGCCTGTGGTTATGGCTTTGACGCGGGGCATGGTGATGGTGGGAGAGGTAGCGTGGGCCGTGAACGGAAGCGCAGTGCCATCTCGAATGAGGCTAGCCATTTGTCAGTCATGATATTGTGCGCGACGTTCGAGGAAAAGGACATACCCCTGCACGAAAGTCATGCCGCTTTCCTCTCCATACACAAAGTCGCTTCTCAGCGCATCGACAACCATGAAGACCAGCTTGTCAAAAGGTGCCTCTGGTGGCTTCCACCAACCCTCACCCATCTTCTCAGACGATGAAAGCTCTTCATACTCAGCTAATCCGGGCATGAAAGGTTTGTACGGGAAGAAGCCAGTCGCGAAGACCAGTATCGCGACGGGGATGAGCAGGTTCGCAACCGTGAGAAGAACCGTTCGAAGCGCCATTGTGACCTATGTACCTCTGGATTAGTTGATGAAGAGTTTAAGGCGCGTTCATAGCATGATGAGCAATTCCAATGCCAGAAGGGAAAGTTCACGCGTCCAACATGGTATCTAGAGACGCGACGTTACGTTTGTGGCTCTGAGAACTCAGGGTCCAAGCTCTAGTCCCAAGAGAATCTAGTGGGTAACGCCATGGAGCCAATGACATCACTACCTCGGATGGTGAGCTTCCCAAATGTCAGCATCTGCTCCGAGCAAGCATCCATGTATCCAACGCCATTGGGACTTGCTGGTTTAACGAGAGCGAGCTTGCCTGTCTGCATCCCGGCTCCGCACATCTACTTTGCGATCCGTTCTTTCCGCTCCGCCAGCCGCTTCCCGAACTCCGGCCGAACTTTCGAAAAGCAGCTCTTCGCGTACCTCCAGCAACAACACGTTTCACACACTCCTAGATCATCGACTCGAGCATCCAACATGTCATTTATTCTTCCTGGCCTTCGTAGAGGCTTGATGCTCAGCACGCCACTCATCTTGTCGACACCTTTGCTGGCATATCAGTTCCGAAATGCACAGGTTATACGATGTGATGGCCCGGATCCCATCACTAAAATCACAAACGACCTCAAAAGCAACTACGTAACCGAAGCGAGGACACCTGTTATCACTCAATCAGGTGCTATGAATCCGAAAGCAGTCCGTCAAATCAGCATGGGAAGCATTCTAGGTGTGATCGGAGGGCTGGGAATTAGTGTTTTCAGCAAACCTCTGGCTGTGTTGATTGGATTGGGAATATTTGCTCTGCAGGTACGTTTGTTGTTTCATTAGTGAAAGTTGAACTGAAATCTAGGACATGGGACTGGGATATCTATATGGTATATGCAAGACACGCTACCGTTTACCATGCTTTAAACTTTCTAGAGAACGGAGTTGACATATGGCAGTTCATCGAGTCGCGAGGTATTCACGTCATACCATATTCATTCCTGGAGCGCCGGGTAAAGTCGATGAATGTCCGCTCACTAGTGCGCGACAATGTGGCCTTCAAGTTGTCCTTCGGTCTGACTTGCGCGATGGCAGCGTTTGCCGAATTTTAAAATCTTGATTTTGATGTCTTTGCTCAGTACGCATTCGGCTGGTGGAAGCCCTGGGCGAACCGATGTGCTGGATTCATTGCTTGGGGCTGCAGCTGCATTTGCAGTTGCTTGCAAGTCTGCCAAAAAGCTTTGACAGTTTCCTTGAAAGCTGCCCCGCTTCTTGCATTTCTGTACATATGTCAGCATCAAATCCAAAACTCGCAATCATGGACAAGTCTTACCTGGTCATGCTCTCAATGAGCTTGCGCACCATATCCTGAACGCCTTGGTCTTGCTGAAGGCGCTGCAAAAGCGGTTGCTCTGCTAAAGAGTTTGTGATGTACGTCCTTGAGTTCTTGTCGGCTCTTATTAGAGCACGTAGGGGTGCGATGATATGCTCTAGACTTGTGAAATCTACCTCACCGCATATATTAGCTATGAGAGCAAGCGTCACCGCTGGACCAAAGTGAGCTACGATCTCCTGCGTTGTGGCCTGATGAGGGCTATGAGTATTGCCTGCCAATTCGAAGATATCCTTCCACAGTTTGGCGGCTGCGCGTTTTGGTAGCACTTCAGGCGACTTGATAGACTCAACCGTGAAGCCGAACATGCCTGATAGATTCTCTGGTGACTCTTGCGTCATGATTGTTGGATCGGTGTTGATGAAATTCTGAACGAGTTCTATGCAGCCGACGGCAATTTCGGGGTCATTGCGTGGATGCTCCAGTGCTTGCATGATTCTCAGATCGTGTTGAAGCAATCGCTGGGCCTGAACCTGGAAGCCTTCCGGTTTATGATGCTTGTGTGACGAGATCCAGCAGCATGCTGTCTCCAAGACAAATGGCAGTCGCGGCGTCTGCACAGTGGTCTTGGTGATGAAGTCGATAGCAGCAGAATGTGGTAGTACGAAGGGGCCGGAGACAGTTTCCTTGAACCCTGTGCGAAGAACAGAACACGCCGCTTCGATCATCTCGTCGTTACCAGGAAACATCGAGGTCATGTAGTTGATGAGGTTGATGACCTGATTTTGGATTTCTTTGCCCGGCCCTTGCTGCCAGAACACCGAAGGCTCCTTGTCGGATTCCAGGTCCACCACTTCTTCGTCTGAGGCTTGCATTGATTTACCGACGCTCGCAAGGCACTTCAAAGTGGTCAAAGCAAGTACTTGACCTACTTCTATATCTCCTCCTTCTTTGGTGATGTTGAGTGATTGCATGGCATCGCGTGTAATGTACTGAAAGAGCTGTCGTACACCTTCAAATTGCTTCTCTTCTGTGGGCTGAGCTTGTACTATAGCGGCGATACCTTTCAGAACCATACTCTTGGTGAACTCTTCGGCCGTTGGATAGGTCAGGAATTGCTCGTACATCTGGAAGAAAGAAGGCAATTCTCCAATCAAGGACTTCCGGCACTCGGAGCAAAGTGAAGCAAACGACTTCGCGGCTCCGTGAGCGATAGCTGGTTGAGCAAGAGCGGTGAGCAGGAAGGGTAGAACTTGAGGGAGGAACTGAGGGTTACGGAGGAAGAAATGGTTCAGAGCTGCGACGAGCTCTACTGCGGTCCTTCGAGTGATTGCAGGAACACCGGGGGTATCAGAAATGGTTGAGAAAACTGGTTGCTCGAACAATCTGATCAGACGATCGTCAGAGCTTCGAGTTAAAGCGTCAGCGATGGCGATCAGACCAAAGAGCCCAGTCTCGAGCTCCAACCAATTGCCAGCACTCAGTCCACGTAAGGCAAAGTCGACGAATTGATCAGTAAGAACGTCGCGTAAAGGCTCATATGCTTCCATGATGATGTCTCGGACATCGATTCGAAAGACTTTAAATGTCTTTCTCGCATCAGAGTCCCACGATTCAGTGACATCAGCGGGTGGATAGATGATCTTCTGCACAAGCTCAGAGATGGCCTGAAGCACATTAGACTTTGCAGTGTCCATCCAGTCTGGTGGTTGCTCTCCCGCAGTATACAAGAAGGTCTCTTCGGCGATAGCGCTGACATAATTACTCCAGAAGTCGAGTACCACCGGCGCGACTTCGTCTTCGGCGCCTACTGGCTCGGGGTACTTGAGAAGATCATGCAAGAAGGACATGACCTGCTGATGATGTGTACTTCCTGGCTGGCTGTAAATGACTTTGGTGTCAAGCAGAATCTGTCCATATGCGACGATGATCCGGGCGAGGGAAATAGTCTCAGCATCAGAGTTCTTGAGTATCTCTAGACCCCATGGACCCGAGATTGCTGACCACAGCATTTCCTGATGTTTTGTTTCGAAGAAGGTGGCATAATTTTCGAGAATCTCAGCCACCAATTCCATGGCATCTTCGACGTGATATTCCAGACATGTCAGAGCGAGCTCATTTACCGAACGGAGGTGTTGTAGCTTTTCTAGGTCGTCCTTGAACTCGGATTGGGCATAGAAAATCCATCCTGTAAAGCACTTCAGAGCGGCCACGCAAATCTTCTCCCCTTGCTGCACTGATTGTGCGTAGTTGGGGTCGTCAATGGATATTGACAACCATTTGATACCACGACCGAATGCTACATGGAGAAGAACCTCGACACTCTCTACGTTTGCTACCATTCGTTTCGCTGACTTCTGGTCTGGAAGATTGGATGGTTTCTTAGCTTCGTCCGCTAAACTCATGGTAAAGTCAAGCATAACTAGAAGCTGCTCATCGGAGAATTGGGGTAAGAGATCCCATGTCGAAGGATGTTCATCCAATGCTTCGTCTAGAACTGGACGTTGGGCGGCGAATGATGCAGCCAGGCCCCTGATACAATGGGTCCATACGGAGATGGGCTTGGTAAAGTACTGGGCCAAGGTAGAGCTGACCTTCCGGGTGGCAATAGATGAGCCTGGGCGTGAGACAAGATGGTGAATTAGCGTTGACAGCAGTTGCTGAGATTCCTCTTCGCTCAATTCAGCCGAATCGGCGTTAAGCTTGACTGTGAGAGTAAGGGCACCGAAGAAGCGAACTTGCTCATTGTCGCTCTTCAAAAGAGCATCTGCAATCTCCCAGCCTTGAGGTGAGCGCTGGAGGACACGAAGCGTGGCCTCGTTTTCGGCGATCTTCTTTGCTTGACCAGGTTCGTGTATGGACTTGACCAGGCGCTCGATCTCCTCATAGGGCAGAGGGAAAGTGCCGTTGCTCGCCATGCTGAGGCTGGTATGGAGGCGCTATACTGCAGGGTGTCGTTAGTTATGTTGTCAGATGTCAGGGTACCCAGAGACCAGGTTGAGCATTACCGAAAGTGGGAAGGTGCGACCAGAGAAGTGCAAGGCGCGAAAAAAGGGCGCACAGAGGCGACTGCGAACGTGTTTGGGTATGCCTAATACAACGGCGCTGTGCCCTCTATGCAGTTGACATGACTCGCTGCTATTTTGAAGTTGAGAGGACAGGCTGCTCTAGGCGGCGCAGGAATGTGAAGGTGCAGGACCAGGGCTTGGGGTGAGGCTGCGCGAAGTTGCCTCTACCGTCGCGTATGGTGGGGCTAAATCGATAGCTAACCACGACGACGTGAGCTCATGTTATGAGCTATCAAACTTCGAGGGATTTGATGCTAGACTAAATACACATGTGCCTCTCCTTGGTGCCTGAGCGTAAGAGTTCTTGCGCTTGGCAAGGCTTGATTGGAGCCATGGGCGATTGCGCTTAGTGCGGGAATGGATGCGGCGCTGGAGACGTGTAGGCGGGGTGTCGTGCATGTCCCGATCGTAGGCGCGAAGCAGTGCTATACCTTATGCTCCTCCCGCGTTTTCTAGGGCGCTCCCACGCGACAGCTGCAGCATACGTAGCCAGAAAGACGCCTCCGTTTCCTGTCAGACCCTTTCACGCCCCTGCTGCCCTGCGTGCTATCGATATGGCCAAAGTAGACACGACCCAGCGGCTGGCGGACCTCCGCAAGCTCATGAAGGAGCGCAATGTCGACATTTACAGTAAGCGCGCTCACGACTAGACATGTGAAGACAGGCAACTAACACGTGTTAGTGGTACCGTCTGAGGACAGCCACCAGAGCGAGTATATCGCGCCATGTGACGCACGACGAGGTCGGGCCCCCGCTTCCTATCGCGTCGCACCCGTTGACACCACCTAGCATACATCAGTGGCTTCACCGGCTCTGCTGGATATGCAGTCATTACGCACGAGAAAGCCGCCCTCTCCACCGACGGACGCTACTTCAACCAGGCCGAGAAGCAGCTGGACAGCAATTGGGAGCTCCTGAAGCAAGGCATACAGGATGTACCTACCATCCAAGAGTGGACCGCAGATCAGGCCGAAGGGGGCAAAGTAGTCGGTGTAGATCCGAGCGTAGTCACTGCAGCAGACGCTCGCAAACTTGCTGAGAAGATCAAGAAGAAGGGCGGCGAGTACAAAGCCATCGACGACAACCTGGTAGACTTGGTGTGGGGGGACCAAAGACCAGCACGACCGAGCGAGAAGGTTATCACTCAGCCTGAAAAGTACTCTGGCAAGAGCTTCGAAGACAAGATTGAGGATCTGCGCAAGGAGCTGGAGAAGAAGAAGAGTCTGGGCTTCGTCGTATCTATGCTGGACGAAGTCGCCTGGCTCTTCAACCTCCGCGGCAGCGAGTATGTACTTTGTCCCCACATCAGAATGCACTGCTAACAAGACGCAGCATCCCATACAACCCAGTCTTCTTCTCCTACGCCGTCGTTACGTCCACCGCAGCTACCCTTTACGTCGACGAGAGCAAGCTACCCGAAGATGTCAAAAAGCACTTGGGCGATAAGGTCACGATCCGACCATACGAGGCTATCTTTGGAGACGTTACAGCGCTGAGCCAGGAGCTGTTTGAGGCGAGCGACAAGTCAAATGCACAAAAGAAATTCCTGACTTCAAACCGGGCATCATGGGCTCTTAACAAGGCTCTTGGTGGTGACGAAAAGGTCGAAGAAACCCGGAGCCCGGTCGGAGACGCAAAAGCGGTCAAGAACGAGGTCGAACTAGAAGGCATGCGACAATGCCATATCCGTGATGGAGCTGCATTGAGCGAGTACTTTGCTTGGCTGGAAGATCAGCTCATCAACAAGAAGGCCACGCTGGATGAGGTTGACGGTGCTGATAAGCTGGAGGAGATCCGCAAGAAGCACGACATGTTCATGGGTCTCTCTTTTGATACCATTTCGTCAACCGGTCCGAACGCAGCTGTTATCCACTACAAGCCAGAGAAGGGTGAGTGCGCCATCATCGACCCTAAGGCTATCTACCTATGCGATTCTGGCGCGCAATACCGGGACGGCACCACTGACACGACACGGACCCTACACTTCACTGAGCCTACCGAGATGGAACGTAAAGCATACACGCTCGTGCTCAAAGGCAACATGGCTCTCGAGCGTGTCAAGTTTCCCAAAGGCACAACCGGTTTCGCGTTGGATGCATTGGCTCGTCAGTTCTTGTGGGCGGAGGGTCTCGACTATCGTCACGGCACTGGACACGGTGTAGGATCCTTCCTCAACGTACACGAAGGCCCAATCGGCATCGGAACCAGGGTGCAATACTCCGAAGTCTCGTTAGCTGTAGGCAATGTGGTCTCCGATGAGCCTGGTTACTATGAAGATGGCAAGTTCGGCATCCGCATTGAGAACATGGTCATGGTCCGAGAAGTCGAGACGAAGCACAAGTTCGGTGATAAGCCATATCTGGGTTTTGAGCATGTAACGATGACTCCACACTGCAGGAACCTTGTCGATATGAGCCTGCTTACAGAAGACGAGAAGACTTTCATCAACGAATACCACGAGGAGGTCTACGAGAAGACGAGCAAGTTCTTCGAGAATGACTCTTTGACACTGGAGTGGTTGAAGCGCGAGACAGCGCCCTACTAGAGGATTAGGGCGCCAGTATCAAGGTAGTCTTGGGTATTGGCACGGCGTTGGCATACTTACAGCGTTAGTAGTGTATACAGCAGCATGCATGGAGCCTGGCGTTTCCAGCGTGTCCCAGGGTTCTCTTAGGGTCCAGGATGAGCTATTGCCCCACTCGGCCCGAAATATCATCAGATGACGGCTCAGCTTGTACCTATCTCAGCAACGGCCACTGCAGACCAAATGAAAGCATACAAATCATCTGACTAAGCGACGGCAATTCACGGCCCTGGTTCACACTTTCCCGACGGCTGATTGGCGTGTAGACATTGCATGTGTCAAAAGGCGCGTAGCGGGGTCTAGATGTTGTCGCGCCGCCGCGGATTATGGCGGGGCAACCTCCGAGCTGCGAAGGCGGGATGGAGGGACCTTACAAAGGCAAAAAAATATTGCGATGCCGCGGGTACATGTACAGGTAATACATCGCGTTTGACTTTGACTCACGATCTTACCTCGTTTTCTCTCACTTAGACTTTAATTCTTCATCGTCTGTGATAACACTCTACTCTACGACACTACTAATTGACTTGACCTTACCTCCCATTATTTCCGAATCACTTCATTCACAACACAAGACACGTCACAATGGCAACTGAACTCCCCACCACAAACGGCCACAGCGCACAGGATGGCGAGAACAACTTTGCCGTCAAGGCCGGTCTGGCACGCATGTTGAAGGGCGGAGTCATCATGGACGTTGTCAACGCTGAGCAAGTAAGTCTCTCCAGTGCTGATGTCTGGCCATTCGAGCAACAAGACCAATTGCTAACCAATGTCGTCCCACAGGCGCGGATAGCAGAAGAAGCCGGTGCTTCAGCCGTCATGGCCCTCGAGCGCGTGCCCGCAGACATTCGGTCCCAGGGTGGTGTCGCACGTATGAGCGACCCCAAGATGATCAAGGAGATCATGGACACAGTCACAATCCCCGTCATGGCCAAGGCGCGAATTGGACACTTTGTCGAATGCCAGGTACGACTTGATGACTTCCAACTTTTCTGTCTTGAGGCGGATCCGCACTTTCAGCATTCGAAAGACCCATTTGCTAACGCTTACGGATAGATCCTCGAAGCCCTAGGCGTTGACTACATTGACGAATCCGAAGTCCTTACCCCCGCCGACGCTATTCACCACGTCTCCAAGCACCCCTTCCGCATTCCCTTTGTCTGCGGCTGCCGGGGCCTCGGCGAAGCCCTTCGCCGCATCTCGGAAGGTGCAGCCATGATCCGCACAAAGGGCGAAGCCGGAACCGGCGACGTCATTGAGGCCGTCCGCCACATGCGTACCGTAAACAGCGAGATTGCCCGCGCAAAGAGCATGTCAGAGGAGGAGCTCCGTGTCTACGCAAAGGAGCTTCAGGTCGACTATGCGCTGCTCAAGGAGACGGCCAAGCTTGGTCGTCTGCCTGTTGTCAATTTTGCGGCGGGTGGTGTCGCAACACCCGCTGATGCTGCGTTGATGATGCAGTTGGGTTGCGATGGTGTCTTTGTTGGTAGCGGTATCTTCAAGTCTGGAGACGCAGCCAAGAGGGCCAAGGCCATCGTACAGGCTGTTACTCACTACAAAGACCCCAAGGTGCTCATGGAAGTCAGCATGGATTTGGGTGAGGCCATGGTTGGTATCAACTGCGGTACAATGGGCGAGGAGGAGAAGCTTGCTAAGAGGGGATGGTAGAGCAGGAAGATCATTTCAAAGGCGTCCTTTGGAGGCAGCCATGATTATTATTTGGCGTTCGGGAAATTCAGCTCAAGCGTGGGCTACGAAAATGTATAGAAGAATAAGCTCAACTCGCAATGACGATCAGTTCAACATGCCATTCTACCCAGCTTTCGTCTGTCATTATCAATCGCTGTAACCGAAACAGAGTTGAGCAATTGCTGTGGTGCGACACGAGAATTCGCAATGTCGTAAATCACGTCATTTGTTGAGCCGAGGTTCCGCGCGCAGTCACAATAGTTTGGAAACAGACAACGTATTTCAGATTTTGATTGGGCTACCTGCAATGGGTTGCAAATAGACGTATCGATTGCACCGTACAGTCAAGCCACCGTGATGTTCGTAACCTGCTGGCGCCCACTAGTCCTGCACCAGGGGCAGCTGCAGCATCATGCGCTTGCAAAATAATCATACCCATGAACTCCGCTGCGCCGGAGACTAAACCCATCAATATATCCGCGGTCCGTGAACCTATGCGATACAGACGTACAGAGAGAGGTCAAGCAAGAGAAGGCGCATATTTTTTTTTAGCGGTCCTCGGCCCACTCGTTCTCGCGGCGGATCTGCTCCTCCTCCTCGGGAGTGAAGTCGTTCTGGATGTTGAAGGTCTTACGGATCTCATCGGGTGACTTGCCCTTGATCATGTTCGCGACGGTCTTGCATCCTACGTCGAGGAGAGCCTTGATGTCCAGGTAGTTGGCGGCGAGGATGATCTCGAAAAGCATCTCCTGGTCGACCTGCATGAACTTCTGGTCCCACTCGTCGATGTCGGTGGACTTCTTGCGCGAGTCGGAGTCGTCGTCCTGGGTGGCGGGAGGGTCGTTCTTGTGGTGGCCACACCACTCGACAACCTTCTTCATGACTGCCTCGTTTACCTGCGACTTGTTAGTAAGCGTTCTTGGAAGATTCCGGGGAGGTCAAGACATACGTTGGGGATGGGGATAGACTCCTCGGATTCACCACCGAGATCCTCGAGCAAGTTCTTGATGAGGATGGAGCGCTCAGCGACAGGGCGCTCGACCTTCATCTCGACACCATCGGAGGTGGTAATGCTGATGAGCTTGACGCCCTCGGCAGTAGTGGAAGCCATTGCGGTAGCTAGTTTGTGTGGTGTTAAGGTGGTTATAGAAGTGGGGTAAGCTGTCGATGGAGTCGAGCGGATGGACTGGATCGGCAGTTTCGATTGAAGATAGAAAGGGTGCGTTGAAGGGAGGGTCTGCAGGCTCGGGAATTGAGGAGTTATATATGCACAGGCGTTGTGCTTTCACGTTTGCGCGTGGGTGAGTGAGGAAAGGCAACCGCGGGCGAGCAGCTCCGCCGCACACCAACAATGAGGCTAAGCTCAGGCTGCCAAGCGTAACCGATTGGGGAAGGCGCAAGGCTACAATCGACAAAGGTACCCTTTAGTCACGCGAGAACCACGGTTTGTCCACAGTCTCAGTTAGCTTTCTGAGGCATACACGCTTTGCTAACAAGCCAGTGATGAAAGACATTGTGATTTCGCGCTGTTGTTTGTGGGCCAGCCCAGTAGATGCACCATGTTTGCGCAACTGGAACGGCCTATAGCGGACCCCCGCACGCGCAAATAGTTGAAGGATGACTCTACGCCGCATTTGGGCCGGCAGAAGTTACCAGAATGCGACATAGACTTCGAGTCACTGGAGCTGGTGCCTGAGGCTAATATTGCGCGCATCAGATATCTGTCGTTGGTATCGACACATGTTGGCTATGGTATCTGGCTACTAGATATGCAGGGAACTTGGGTGCACTGCAGTCGCTGCTAGTATGCCAACGACGAGTGGAGATGGACGCGTTGTGACGTAGCAGAATTCTTTTGTTCATCATGCGTCGGCCCTGTAATGACAGATATGCCTGTAACGAACCCATGGACTCGAGATGCAGTCCCACGTATCTCGAGACAGGTACTCCATTGATGTTCCGCCACGTGACCTTTCAGCCTGCATAACGGATCCGCAGCGGCAGCCTAGAACCTAGACAGCCCTGGCGTGGGCGAGTCCGAGATATCATCGCTTGCTGCCACATCACATCTGATCAGGCCGCATGATAAACGGCCGATATATCAACCATGCTTTTCCGCCAGATGTAGTTCGCAGATCATCGCCGTGCACGAGTCGCGAAACTCTACCCACCATTCGCTATTGATAATCGGCCCCCCCTATCCGCGTGCAACTGATGTTTGACGTAGGCCAGCACTAAAACATTCGCTGGCCTCACTTTGTGCAAGCAAACACACAACAACAGATATGCGCCTGCGCACCCCCGCCATACTCTACAACGGCGCACCTCGACTTTCACCATCATGTGGCGGAGAGTCTACTTCTTTCTAATACTTGTGCGCATCTACTTTGCCCTGTCGCCCAGCTACCTGCACCCGGACGAGAACTTCCAGGGCCCTGAGGTCATCGCCGGTATGTCACGACTCTGTCTGCGTGTCTTCCCACCACCACGACTGACCTGTTTCTAGGACGCGTCTTCTCCTATCCTGTCCACGAAACCTGGGAATTCACCTCCGAGAACCCCATCCGCAGTACCTTCCCGCTATGGCTCGCATACGGCTGGCCCATGTACATCTTGCGCTGGCTATGGGAGGGTTTCGGCTATGATGTCTCGCCATCGGTCGTATACTGGACACTGCGAGTACTCATGCTGTCGTTGAGTGTCGTCATGGAGGACTGGGCCATCCACGAGCTGGTCGCTTCACCCCGCGCGCGTCGTGTTGCCGTTATGCTCGTCGCATCTTCTTATGTGACTTGGACGTTTCAGACACATACCTTCTCGAACAGTCTCGAAACACTGTTGGTGCTCTGGAGCCTGGTGTTGATCCAGAGGATAACAGACGACAAGGTAGGTCTGCTTCGGTCCGCTTGCCGATCTAGGATATGCGGCTAACGCAAGGCGCAGAAGCGCTCCGGCATACTGGCCTCATCCATCCTCGGCTTCATGGTCGTCGTGGGCATTTTCAACCGCATTACCTTTCCAGCATTCTTGTTGCTTCCTGCGACGACCTTGCTACCTCACTTTCAACGCAAGTAAGTCAACCCAGGTTGTCGTCTTCTCAACTTCAACTGACATCGACAGACCATTCTCTTTGGTCTTCTTGGCTACATTCGCTCTCTTCACAGCTTTCCTTGCTATCTGCGTGGATACGGCGTTTTATACCCCTGGCGAGTTTACCTTTTCAAAAGTCTTTAACGGGCCGGTTATTACGCCCTTCAATAATTTCCGCTACAACTCCGATTCCGCAAACCTTGCCCAGCATGGCATACACCCACGATACCAGCATTTCCTGGTCAATCTTCCTCAACTCCTCGGACCAGCGACGCCGTTTCTGTTCTTCTTGCGCAGGGCGCATATTTCTATGATTCTGGTCTCAGCTATTTCCGGCGTTGCCTTTCTCAGCATCTTCCCACACCAGGAAGCACGATTCTTACTGCCTGCCGTACCGCTAATACTATCCTCGATACGCATACCTACTCCGCGTATCAGAAAAAGCTGGATTATCACCTGGGTCGTCTTCAACGTCGCTTTCGGCATATTGATGGGCGTGTACCACCAAGGTGGCATTGTTCCAGTCCAAATGAACATCGCCAAAACGAATGAGACAGTTTCTCATGCGTTCTGGTGGAAAACCTACAGCCCCCCAACATGGTTGCTGAATGGCAAGAACGAGGAGCTGCAGACCGTAGACTTGATGGGCTGTCCAGCCGAAACAATGATCGAAAAGGTCAAAGAAGCACTACCGCCTTGTCGAACGCGGAAACCACCAAAGGCTGATCGCGGCGCTGTTTATGTGGTAGCACCAAGATCAGCACATGCTTTGATACCATATCAGAGCCCCAACACCTCAAAAGAAGTCTCGTTGCGGGAAGTCTGGAGCTACCGTCAGCATCTCAATCTTGACGATATGGACTTTGCCGACGATGGCGTTTGGAACACCATTAACCGCGTTGTCGGCGATCGTGGATTGGTCGTGTGGCGAGCTGCTCGGAATTGTTGGTCTACACCTGAAGAAGGTGAACCCGCCTCTGAATAGAGACATACATTAGAAAGAATCTTGGTAGTTCGATTTCTTGGATTTGTGGTACAAGACATAAGAAATCTGGCAGCGCAAGCTAAACACTCGATTTGTTTTCCCCTTACCTTCTTCTGCATATATACCCAACAAATCTTTTACGTAGTTTCTCTTAATATAGAATCAAACAAAAAGACAATGCCACACAAGTGCTCCTTCTTCCCACCGTGACAGATACAAATTCAGTGGTAAGTTTTTATGATTGTTGATACATATGTCATCATACCCTACCTGACCCTGTCTATACAGACCCGAAGCCCTCCTTCACAGCGCCCCACCTAACACCCTAACAGCCCACATGGCCATTCGAACATTCATCCCAACCTTCCTCTCCGGCTTCTCGAACTCTTGCTCATTGACTTGCTTCGCATGCTCACCCAACCACTTGACTTCCTCACCCAATCTCCTTCTCAACCCGGGATCCGACGTCGCAATAACAACATTGGCCTCCAAATCAAGCTCATAAGAGCGTTTAGTATAGTTGCTACTTCCAATAACCGTCAAACTAGGATCTTCCTTCTCCACCTCCGAAGAAGAGGAAGAAGGAAAGGTAACCCACAAGCCCTTGGCATGATACGTCCACCCGCCTTCCTGTCCGACCATACCCTTCTTCCACTCCTTCAGGATGATACTGTTGGCTAGACCCTCGTGTTTGACTTTTCGAAGGAACGATTTCGCGAGATGTGTGTATGCGCCTGGCAACAGGCCGCTTACGCCTTTTGAGCCGTAGAAGCCATTGGCGTGGGGGTGCGCGGTCAGCACAGTGCCAGAGGAGGGGCGAGTGGAAAGAAGGAGACGGCGGAACGAGGGTGTCATGTTGAAGTAGCCGGCTGTGAAGGTCCAGGAGGAGTTTTGGAGGGGAGGGCTCGTGAGGTGCGTTAGAATTTTGGTCAGGGCGGGCAATTCTGTTGAGGATGGGAGAAGGGGGACGAGGGAGAGAATAGGGTAGATTGTTGTTTTTGAGGTCGATGATGAAGGGGTGGCGGCGGGAGAGTTTGATGGGACGAGAAGGTGGGCGAGGTGTTTCTCCGCGGCGGATCTGTAGTTTGATGGTGAGTCCAGGGGTGAGGGTGCGGCGTTTGTTGTTGGCCAGGACATGGTGTAGCCTCCACTTCCTTCTTGAGTACTGGGCTGGATGTCGAAACTCAATTTTGCAACACCATCATGTATCCTTTTGAAGTAGTCTGTCAAATCTTTCGATCGGAATAGGTGATACCGATCCTGTCGATTCGTGAAGTAGTCTTCACTCAGATTTGCTCCAGACATGATGATCTCGTCATCGACACCATACAACTTCATATGTTGCAAACCCCAGCCTTCGTTGATGCGTTTAGGGATGTACTTCTTTCGGAGACCAGTTAGGTTGGGTGTATGGTACATGCGAACTTCTACGCGATCTGGCCCGAATTCTGAAATAAGAGGTGTCATAAGAGAGGCGGTCGAAGGGTTTGGTGTTTCTCTGGTTCCACGGAGAGCGTCAGTGAGAAAAGACACCTTGAGGTCTGGATTACGTTGAAGAGCATCCCGGATTGTGGAGATTAGTTCGTGTTCGGTTTTCCCAATGTATAGGGTTGATAGATAGATGCGGTGTTGAGCTTTTGATATTTTGTCCTGATAGATGTCAGTATAAGATAAAATCGCTGTGAGTGCGCTTGCTCACGTGGCTTGGAGAATCGGTCGTCCAATGGTCATGATGCATTGACTCGCTGTTTCCAAACAAAGTACAAGAGAGTAAAGAGCAGATCTAGACATCAAAGACAAACACACAACACAAGAGGGATGGTACAACAGCGAAACGTGTGACGAGTAGAGATGAAGAGCACCATGAGCATCTTTAGAGAAAGAGACGGCATAGTAGAAACGGAGAATAAATCATCATTACAGATAACGGAAAGGACGTAACAGTGAAGAATGACCTACCTTTAACGTTTGATAAAACTCAGCGGGCGTCTGAATAATCTCAATCTGATCTGGCTGAATCTCAAATCGCGGCGCTATCTTATCCAGATCTGTTATTATCGTTGCAAGCATAGAGGCTTGACTCTGAGGCACCGGCGACGCCATCTCAGCATTCGAAGTCGAATATCTTCTCGTTGTTCTGAATGTCCGAGTGGGGATGCGGAAAGTTCTTCTCCCCGCAATCTTTGGGGCCTGGGCACGTAATAAGCTTCGTATTATCATGTTGGACCTTTGATTTGATATGACGCCGACTGCTGGTATGTGCTTCGACTCCTGAAGTTTTGATGCACTTTGGGGTTGGGCGACAAGGATGACTTGGAAGCTAGCGCGTTCTTGGTAAAGCGTGAAAGTGGGGCTTGGCACCGTCAATCGCGAAGCAGCAACATCCGACAAGCATCACAGACGCTGAGCAGACCAACCGCCGCCATGTCTACGCTTATGAGAACACTGCGCAACCTGCGCCGAATTGGCCTTAAGGTAGATTTCAGTTGTTGTAATAATTGGCCTCGCAATGCTAACACGTCCGCAGGAATATGGCCATCAAATGGCGGTACGCTCGCATCCCCGCGCCCTCACCTTAAACCGCAGATAGACTGATCGAGTCGCCCGCACGTGTAGAACATCGGTACGCTCGAATATGAAAAAGCAGGCAGGATACGGGAGGTGCTAACATGGCCCAGGTGATACCAAAGCCGGAACCCTGATCGGCCAGGACAAGTACGGCAACAAGTACTTCGAGAACTTGGAGGAGGAGCTTCCCCGTAAGAGCCAAGAATTTTAGAGATCAAGGCCGTCGTCTGACCGGTACAGTCCGAACCCGCTGGGTAGACTACAAGGACAAGGAGTTCGATCCGTACGTTATATTGAACAACGGGGAGCAGAGCAAAGCTGATTATGTGACAGTTCTCAGATCGAGCCCGGATGGCACGCCTGGATGTCATACATGGTCGACAAGTCGCCAGCCGCAGACAAGCTTCTGCAGCGCCAGGTCCGCGTCTGGGAGCCAAAGGAGCACAGGCCAACCCTCACATGGAGCCGTTCAGGATACAAGCCTTACAACACGTGCGTTAGAGAACTCCATTTGGGGCGATGGTATGCTAACGGTAAACAGCGTCAAGCCCAAGTACTCTCCATGGACACCTGTTGCCAAGCCCCGACAGTAGGCAATTCATTTCCTATATTAAGCATTGTATATACCAAGAGAAGAAATGGATGTTCCACATGCTGTCAACCCTTCCAGACGTCTACACTCAGAGCCCCTTCGTCAACATTGGTAAGACTACCTCCTTGTTAAATTGCCACAGCGCACTGCTATCATGTGCCCTAAATGCAGCCCCACTCCAATACGTACTTTTCAAGCCCTGTAGCGCATTCATCTCGTCATAAATCCCAGCCTTGATATCCTCAGATGTGGCCTGGACGTAGAATGGCGCATGCGACGTGTAAACGACAAATTCTGGCTCTGTTGCATTGAACTTGTCAGGGTTTGCAGCCTGTAGCCTCTTGATACTCGCAATGAGTTCCCCTTTGATGAAATCGTCAGAGAGAGGATAAGTCGCATTTGAGACATCAGTACCGTAGTAGATTGCCTTGACACCGGGGATGGCAGTTGGTTGCATGAGGTAGATGCCTGGGATTGCAGGTAGATTGTATGGCGTGTCTGGTGCGTAGTTGTATATGAACAAGTCTTCCGGTATGCCCGTGTTCATGATTAGAGCGGAGTAGTAACCAGCATTGATAAACCTCGCAAAGACGTCACGTTCTTGCTCTTGCAGATCGAACGATGCAAGGAGATCTAGTTTCGGTGGGATGGTAATGAGGAGTTTTTTCGCACAGATCAATTTTACGCCGTCAGGTGTCTCGACAACGAGTTCTACGCCATCGTCGTGACGTACTGAGTTTACCACTTTAGAGGACAACAACAAGCTATCGGCGTCGAGGAGCTCAGCCTGCGCTTTGCCGTATAACTCGCTGTTGTTGCGTTGAGCTGTAGAGATGAGACCGTTGGCAGCGAGTTGCGCTACTAGACCCAATCCGTTGACACGCGCCTGCTCCAATACTGGCATGCTGAGGATATCCCCAGTGCCTTGGTTCGTGCTGTACAGTGTTTGCACAATAGCTTCGATACCGTATTTCACAACGAAGTCACCAAACGGCATGGTCAAATCTTCTGGAACAGGGTCCGGTAGGAACATTCCACTGTTAAGCTCCGGGTACTGGGCCAGAAAAGTGCCATATGCTTGCAGTCCGGCGCCTAAAGCTTCAGGAGGGGGAGCACTGATATCGACCTCGACGCCGGTGCTGAGGTCGTAGTTTGCGCGATTCGTAGCAAATTCCGGAATGGCTAGGGGTATATCGAAGCGGGCGAAGTAGTCCAGAACGGTACTCTCGTTGTGAAAGACTAGAACACCGTAGTCTTGTGCCCGACCAGTTACAGGGTCGGTGTAGGTCTCCGTGTGCCCTCCCAGACGGCCCTTGACCTCGACGACTATCAGGCTTTGGCCCGCATCTTTGAGGCTTATAGCGGCGTGGGTGCCAGAAGAGCCGCCACCTATTATTGCTACATCACGAGTGATGATGTCGTTGGGACTGAAGGCTGAAGAAGGGTATTTGGAGGAAATTGAGAGGACAGTAGATACGAAGAGGGAGGCTACGAGGCCCGCTGAGGGAAGAGAAGAACGCATTTTTGGGAGTGCAGAAGCTTCTTCCTAGACACTGGAATAACCGCAGGTCCTTCTAAGCTTATATACTATGTTTTTGAGATCCTGAGCATCCACATTGACATGTCTGGGTCACATCGCGAATGTGCAGATGCATGGCTACGCCTCTTGGGGTCCATTCTACGTCCATGACATTGCATCCAACATTCCGTCATGTCCCGAAGCACACAGTAGCTCTTTCCAATACGTCCTTTCCCAATAGAAGAACCCAATTGAAGCGCTCAAAAGCCTTGGAAGCATGCAACCTAAAACCCTTACATAAGGGGCGTAAGGTCAAAAAGCGATTCAGCATCGAGAATCCTACATATATTTTCACCTACATGTGTTTGCACCACTTACCATAGCCGTCCTCCAGCTCACCTTGCTTACTTTTGAAATAGTTGTGTGGAGTCAGACTGTCTCTGACTGGTCGGAAAAGGATCGCGGCGTAGCATGTGGCTCCCACTGATGTTTACTTGGCAAAGTCAGATCTTGTATAAGACGTACATCTGCCACCTACAGCGATTCGACATGTGTCTCGAACTAAAGAGGCTGACTGAAACAACTTGACCGGTCAATACGTTGATGTGTGATGGCGCTCTTAGGCAAGTGAAGCGTCCACGCAGCCGTCGCATTGTCCTCATGGCCAAAGGAAGAGAGAATCTCAGTAGCAATGATAGCGTTGTGTATGCGGGTCAATGACTATGAAGAATCGTGATGGTAGCTTGGAAAGGTGGTGTGAATGTAAGGAAGCGGCGTGTGTGCAGTTAGTGCCTCGTCTGTATGCTGCGGACGGTCCCTACAGCATTCCTGTGGCCCGCCGCCCATAGGCTGTGTGGCCCTCGGAGCTTGAAGCTTCCTGTGGCAGCTCTGGATATGCAGGTTGAAAGCCAGGAGGATGGGTCGACCCGAAGTTCGCCGTGAACGAGCCAGTCACTGCTTTTCGTTTGCGTTCGTACATCTTCTCTATTACGTGTTCAGTCAAATTGCTCAGGTGGGCTTCCAAGATTGCCATGTCAGCGGCATGGACTATCCCATATCATCGTCAGCGTGGTCCCCGGGTCATGTCGCATTTCGCGGTGCGTCCTCTCATTCCAACTTTGAAAAGGAGATTTGTACACGAATTCTTCTCCACACGTGCGAGCTGGGTGTACCTGGGTACTATGAAATTCTGAATGAAGGCTTAGTAGCGGTGTCGAAGTTTTGGTGCCATGGTGCGAAAATTCCTAAGACGTCTCCAGTATGACGGCAACAAGCACAGCGGTATCGAGACATGTTCACATGTCGCAAGACTCGAGAGCAGCGCGTCGTTCAACGCTGTGTTGCTTGGCCAAAGCGTTGAGCGCGCTTGGGGGAGCCGGCAATCCTCAGATGGCGCCAGCAGGCATCTTAGTGCGAAATGTGTGCGAGGGCTTCACCGACTTGTAGGACGCACCTAACAGAGGGCCTATTGGCAATGTCAGCAGCGTTACAGGCCGCATGCACGGCAGATGCAGATTGGTAAGCTGTGGGGGAGCTAACGCTTGGTCCCACTACCCATGGCCCGCGGAGCTGGTCGCAAGCAGCTTGCAGCCACCACAGTACCCCGGACTTTCCTAAGTCCGGCAGCCGCGATAGAGCTGTCGTTGTTATAGGAAGGTCACAGATGACTCTCCGATGTCAGATACGAGGTATAGATAGAGTTTATTGATGCTTATCGAATTCTGGGGCGGACGTGAGGCTCTTTAGCTCGGGACTCCAACAGGCACGGGCAACCATGGCATTCCTGGTAGTGAAGAGAAGCATCAGGCCAGACGTTGCGCAAAGTAAGACGCCGTTGGCATATGGGCATTGCCCAGCGTGCACAAGACCTAGTTGCACGGGCGACATGAACGATGGCCCAACATGGAAAGCGGGAGATTCACAGCTAGTCTCAGTTTGCGCCCTTTTGACCGGCTCTTTCGCCCTTGGGGACATTAACGACTCATTCTGATTCAATAACACGACACTTGAGAGGTCTGACGAGGCGGTCAGGACATTGCTGTGACTGTGTAGTGTGAAGCTGCAGGGCGGTAAAGCGCGAAAAAGCCGTGAAATGGATGCATTGCTTGCTCCGTGACACATGCGCAGCGGATGCGTGTGCTGCACAACCATGTCGCCTTGAGTCAAGCGGAGACAAACCTTGTCAAACTATATGCCGTGACGATCTAGCTTTCTTGTCAAGACTATCCTCCATTCCGCGAGCAACCACCGTAACGTTTCGATAGAGGAGTTTGTGCTTGGTGAAAGTGTGCTCCGTTGCACCCGTCGTCCATAGAGCAGCAGTTATCTGATCGTCCGCTATCTAATCAGATCAGCCCGGTCGCACATCGGCTGAAATCTCTAATTACATCATTCGTCGATTCGCGCACGCGCGTGAACGTCAGTGCGGATCTGGAAAGGCTCTTGCGGCAACTAGAAGCGCAAACCGAAGAAGCAGCATCTTTCCTCACAAACCACCGTATCCTGGACGCACCTGCCTGGAGGCCCCTGTCGAACGTTTGTTTACTTCGGCGCAATCGAGCAGAAGGCGCGAATACACTCCCCGGCCGCTCTTCAGGTCCCAATGCGCCTCAACAGCCGTCAATAACGAGTGCGAGTGCTGGAGGGTTTGAACACCACCACAGGTCACAACAGGTCTCGTACAACTCGCAGCGGCAGACAGCATGTTCGCCCACTGTCGAGGCCCGCTCTGGGGCAGAGACGACTTTTCCAGGTGTTTCGAGCAAGAGTAGGTGCTTCTTTTTGGCTTGCGCTATCCCACGCGCTGTCTCAGATGCCACTGCAGCCGTCCGATTGGCGATGCGCCACCACAAACGACTCTGAAGGCTAACACGTCACAGCTATCTCCAAACATTGTTTCCTCTCATCGTATGCGGAGTATCCGTCGCTTACCTGCTGGTCCAACTCTACTTCGCCGCCACCGCCTCCAAGTACTACCACGCCTACAGCGTCCTCGAAGATCCCGGCAATGTCTGGTCCTACCGAAGCCGCCACTACGATGGCGATGAAGCCGACAGCGAGGCCGACGACGAACTGGAGCGGAATGAAGACCTTGCGCTCCAAGCAGTCAACACGGTATCCACCATGGCTGTAGATAAACCTCGCGGAGAACTCACGGTCGTTATACTCGAAGAGCTGGCGGTCCTGGCACAGCTTGGACTTCATATCACTGTGCTGTTGACCAATGTATGGGGCAAGCACGGCAAACTCGCCGCCATTGCCAATGTCGCTGTTTGGGCCTACATCGCCACTCTAGCGTCCCTGCGACTGCTCCTCTCTAGCACGAGCAGGTTCTCATTCCCCCATCTCTGGTACCACACTGCCTTCATCTACGGGTTCCAATGGGTCTTTAGCGTCCTCCTGTTCCGATCAGCCATTATCCATCCGCGATCGCCTTTACACCAGAAGCTTATGATTGGCGATTTCGCCCTCGTTTCGCTATTGTTTCTCATCTCTCTGTGCTCTAGAAAAGGCAATAAGGCAGTAGAATTGGAGTACGAGGGCGACATCGCGCCTGCCCGGGAACCTGTCGCCAGTGTTTTCTCCCTTGCTACTTTCAGCTGGGTGGATCCCATCGTTTGGACTGGATACAAAAAGACATACGAGCTTACCGATGTCTGGAATCTGCCTTCCAAGGACAAGGCCGCAGCGGTCATCGCGAACTACCGTCAAGTCAAGAAAACCTCAGGCTTAGCCTACCATCTTCTAAAGCACTTCAAGCGAGGCCTACTCATCCAGGCAGGTTGGGCTGCCATTTCTGGTTTCCTTACTTTCGCCCCGACACTACTTCTAAAGGTTATTTTGGAGTACGTTGAGAAGCCCGACTTGACACCCGCCAATGCCGCATGGTTCTACGTCATTCTGCTTTTCGTCTCTGGCAGTTTGTCCGCACTTGCAGATGGTCAAGCGCTATGGCTCGGCCGAAAGATTTGCATTCGTCTACGCGCCGTCATCATTGGAGAGATTTATGCCAAAGCACTCAAGCGTCGAGCAGCAGCTACTACTGAGAAGACGTTGGGCGAGGCGAAGAAGAAGAAGCAGGAGCAAGACGAAGAGCCAAAGGGATTGAAGCGCATGTTCACTTTCGGCAAGAACAAGAAGAAGGTGAATGGAGCTGCCAAAGAAGAAGACGTCACAAAGCCAGTATCTGACGCTCAGGTCACAACCGGCGCCATCATCAACCTCATGGCTGTCGACGCTTTCAAGGTCAGCGAAATCTGCGCCTATCTCCATTTTCTCTGGGCAAACACTCCAGTCCAAGTCGTTGTGGCTATCTTCTTACTTTACCGCATCCTGGGCTACAGCTCAATTGCCGGTATCGGCATGATGGTCTTCCTGCTTCCCATCAACATGTATGTCGCGCGACAGTTTTCCAAGATTCAGAAGCTCATTCTTGCGGCTACCGATGCTCGTATCCACACCACAAACGAGGTTCTTACCAATATCCGAATCATTAAGTTCTTTGCTTGGGAACAGCGTTTCATCGGACTGGTTAACGAGAAGCGATACACTGAGCTCAAGCATCTGCGACGGCGCTATATTCTGTGGGCGGTGGCAGCTACGATATGGTCGGGCTCACCAGTCTTAATCACGTTCTTATCTTTCTTAGTCTACACGAACGTCGAACACAAAGCGCTCATTCCGTCTGTCGCTTTCACTGCTCTCTCATTGTTTCAAATTCTTAGGATCCCGCTGGACCAACTCGCAGACATGGTTGCTCATGTTCAAGAATCCAAGGTCTCGGTCGATCGTATCGAGGAGTATCTCTCGGAGCCTGAGACCGACAAGTACGCGCAGCTTATCACCCAGAAGAAGGACGACGATGGCCAAGCCATCATTGGATTCGAGAATGGTACATTCAGCTGGGGTGGAACGGACATGGCGGACCAGGCTTCAGCTGACGCCTTCAAGCTTATGGATCTCAATTTAACTTTCCGTGTGGGCAAGCTGAACGTTGTCGTTGG